TTTCTCAGCCATTGTTATTCAAAAGCATGTATGTAATTTTTGTTTAACTATATAGTATAGTTCTTAAGACCTTGTTCTCTTCTTAATTTTTTCACATCCACCCATATTTATGTGTAGAAATCTATCTTGTTTGTTGTTTCTAACTTTAGCTGAGTATTCTATAATATACATCTGCTAAAGTTTACTTACCCATTCACTAGGGACAGACATAAGTTATTTACAACCCCTTGTGGTCATAAATAATTCTGTCATAAACATTCTCAAAATATTCCTTTTGAGAATATTTCTGAGATATGTATCAAAAAATTGGATTGCTGAATCTTAATGCTTCTGCCTATTTGACTAAGTACTGCTGGCTTGCTCTCCAGAAGAGCTTCTCTGTTCCCAATACAGTGGTTATGCATCAAGATCCCTGTTTCTCTACACCAGTGCCAACACTTAATCTTAGATAACATGCTAATTTTTGCCAATGTGATAGTTTTCAAGTGACATTTTCTCTTATTGTCTCCAATCACTAATGAGTTTTATTTCTTTTGCCAAACTCTTCAGTTATAGAATTTTCTCAGGAGGGAACTTTTTAAAATAAATGAAAATGAATTTTTTTCAATTACTGTATGTGTGTGTGTGTGTGTGTGTGTGTGTGTGTATTGAGATGATCTCACAAATGGCAATTATAAACTTCCATTCACCTTGTGTGGTGATAAGTGAACTGTTCAACACTGGCAAATCATTTCCAGAATTTCTTATGTTTGACATACAGACTACAAAATATATAATCTCTTATACAGCTGAAACATAAATCCCTAAGACAACTATCTGCAACTGACACATAAACTATAAAGACCATTAATAGAACTAGAACTAAGGATTTGGGGCTTTGGTTACTTGAATTCATTAGTTTTAAAATCATTTTGCATATATACCATGAAGGAATTTTTAAAAGACCATGTGCCATATTGTGTAGCTTTGGTGGATGTCTAAAATTTTTTCTTCTATATTTAAATTATTGCAAAGTGAGAACTTCTGAAGTATTTCAACTTTTGATATTTGAAAATAAAATTAGTATAGTCCTCTTTTAAATATATTCAGTTTAATTAAATAGGAAAGGCTTTATGGCATGTAGAAATACTGTCAAGAGATGGATGAGTGCTTTTTTTTAATTTTAAAGACCTAGGTTAAAAGATTAAGAGCATTGCATAGTTATTTATAGTATGCAGTTCTGAACCTCAGAAATAACTTGTTATCCAACTAAAATAAATTTAAAAATTAAAAAATATATCCAGTTTAATCTAAATGCCATAGTAATTAGTAACTACCATTATGCATTTAAAAAGTACACAAGCAGGTTCTTCTATAGTCAAATTAGCTGGGCACAGTGGCACACTCTTGCAGTTCTAACCACTTGAGAGGGTGGGGTAGAAGAATTGCTTGAGCCCAGGAGTTTGAGGCCACTGGGAATTATTATGAGAACCCATTAAAAAAAACCAAAAACCACACTCCCCCCCTTTTTTAATGCAATATGCCTATTCCTTTCTAGAATTTTGTTTTGGTGGATATTCTAATGTAGCCTAGTATATTTAATAGATGTTTTATACTCGAAGAATTTTTGAACTATGAATTTCTACAATAAAACATATAAATTAAAATTACATTAAAAATTTTCCTGTGATCATAAAGAAAATAAAAATTTTCTTCTGGGCTGACTGAAAGTGTAAGGGACCGGCGAAGCGTCGGAAGAAGAGACCACCAAGAGACTGACTCATGCAATTGCAGAAGGGGATTTCTTTATTGGGGATCCATTCCAGCGCGCTGGGGCTCCGTGCTCACTCAAGAAGGGAGAGCAGCCCAGAGCCCAGAGCAGGGGTTGAACAATGCTTAAGTACACTTTTTGGGGAGGGCGGGGGCTTTGCATACATCACAGTCTCCTTTAACAAATCACCTTACACCACGGGAAAATCAAACAACAACTCCTAGACTTGATTAGTACATTCATTGGCGGGAACAGGGCTGGCTGGAGTGATAGGTCATTCCTAAGGAGGGGGTTACATTTAAACTGATTGGTTCGGGCCCTGAATGTCTACATGACAAGCTGCACAGGATCTTAGGCTATAAATCAACTAAATGGCCAGTAGGGCATTGTCTTAACTGCCTCAGGAATTTAACCCATGCTTTGCGGTTTAGAAGCAGGTTTACAATGCCTGGTCCTTTACATTTTAACTCAGGCTTTGCAGCTTAGAAACTTTACCCTGTCAAAAGAAGCCTCCACACAAGACAATTCGCCTGGGAGAGTTCCACTTTATTGCAAAAGGCTGTGTGCTTATATGGATCTAAGGAGAGATGGCAGGGCTTAGATAAATGGCGGGCCACCCTATTATTGGCAAGTTCTTCCAGATATCAGTTCCGGAGCCCAAGGAATTAGTTCTTATTGGGGCTAAGGTTCCCTGCCATCGAGATTTGAAATATTGGCGCTGGCGGGAGAATTCACACCCGAGGGAACTTTTCACGCCAGTGGAAAAAGGGGAAAGTAAGAAGAGAAGGTCCTTAGGCACCGTGTTGGGGTTTTTTTTCTGGGGTGCGGCTGCCATTATACTTTTCCCAACATTGACTATTCATCATACATAATTTTTAGTGATTGAAAGAATATACTATACACTTTGATGATTAATTAATTATGAAAGTATTTATTAGAAGATGTATCTTTAGATGATTTTTAAAAATTACTGCATACATCTAATGAAGCAGAATTTTATCATCAATTCAATTCTTATATTTGTTTCTATAAATATGAATGCTGAGAAAACTCATTCACATAGTTAAGTGGACAGATTTAAAAGGAATTTATTACAAAAACATTGCTCAACTCTTTGAACTCCTTTTAAATTATTTGTCAAAATATAACCATAGTAATCCATCATCAAAAAGTAGTGTTAACAATGTGTCAACTATTAATTTGATTATATCCTCCTGCTAAGTTGATAAATGTAAAGAATTTGAAACTAATTGATATGGTTTAATGAAAGCCAATTACTACGATTCACACTTTTTTCCTAAAACTGATACCAAATGTGTCCAGTGCTTTCTTTTCTTGGCACTCAGGTTTTTATACAAGGCAATGCACTATTGTAATGTTACAGATGATAAAAAGATATGCTGTTATTTTGTAAGGTGAAAGAAATATGATTTTGAAAGTAGCAGCTTCACTTTTGTTTTTAGAAGAGCTCATAAGAAGGTTGAGGATCTCTAAATGGATTATCTTAAATCTTTATATGCCTTCTTGCACCTGTCTTAACATGGCACCGTGGTTTGTATAAGACTGCTGCTAAAAAGAAATAGTATATTTAAAACTGTCACAACTTAAAAAGAATCATAGTAGTATTAGTAACATCAACTTTTAAGAGCAATGGGGAATATTATTTTTTTGCATATTTACACTATTGAGCTCACTATGTAAATCTGTAGTAGGTGAGTGCTTTTTTTTGAGAGAATATTGTTTTTTGAGAGAAATTGTTTTGAAAGAGTATAGTTTAATTCAATCCACTTTAAACTTCACCTTCACATTCCTGGAAGACCTTTGAAGGAGGTTGATTCCAGTGTGTTACTGTTAAACTAGAATACTAATTAGTGTTCTTGAAAGATTATTGGGTATTTTACTTTAGGGTACTAGATAATCTCATACATGTCTTTGCTTATTGTTGGGTTGTCATCCTCCCTGTCCCACATTGTGAATATATTATGTGTCATCAATTAACTTTTTCATAGTACAACCCATTCTGTTCCTGAACAAGTCTCAAATCTAATCCCACTTATCTGAACTAGTGCCCTAGTTCAGACCAACATCATTTCTCAATTGGTAATTATCTTACAACTGTTCTCCTCAGCTCCATTCTCTTCCTACTTCACTAATTCCCCTGTAGTTACAACAGTAACCTGTATAAAACACAGGTCAATGCTATATTTTCAGTTTTTCTTACACACCTTCAGTATGTCTGCACTGCCAAGATGATAACTATTAATATTTGCTTTCACTAATGATCTCATCTACTACTTACTTTAAAAAAAGGTTAAACTGTTTGGGCTGGGGTTGTGACTCAGCAGTAGAGTGCTCACCTAGCATGTGTGAGGCCCTGGGTTCGATCCTCAGCACCACATGAAAATAAATAAATAAAATAAAAGGTATTGTGTTCAACTACAACTAAAAAATAAATACTTTTTTTTGAAAAAAGTTAAACTGTTTTCATATGTAGTGAGCATATATTCCACTAAGAAAATTATTTTTATGATTGAAGTGTGTTTCAAGATCACACTGATAGCATTAAGCATGGATATAAGACATAGGGAAAAGATGACAAAGAAAATCTTTGAAAAATGGAGGCCTGGGCAAAGAAAAACCCTAACCCTAAAATGTATCGAGGTTTTTCAAATGATTTAAAAACACACTAAACTCACATAGACATAAGTTATATGTTTATGTAATTCTTCTTTATCAGTGTTAAGGAACAGGACTTTTGTGTTTGCTCTACAACCTAGAATTCAATGAATCATAGCCGTCTTTTTATAATTCCCTGTGGATTCATCATAGTGAGGTAGGATGAACACTACTAGCATGTTAAAAGACAGGTTCTATTAGCAATTTCAGGCCTTACTGTGTGACTTTAATAAGTCATTTACCTTTGCTAAATCTGAGTTTTATCCTCTATAAAGTGAGGTTATATATATATTCCTTTTTCTGTTTAATAAGTGATGGTATCATATGAGAGAATGTGAGAATATAATAAGTATAAAGAGAATTAGATATCATTGTATCACTGAATTATTCCTAAGTCTCTTTAACATTAATCCTACATTTCTTTAGAGGATCTGGTCTATCTTGATAGATGGCATATACTGATAAGGCTAATAAGTGGTCAGATAAGGAAATTAAGGTGTATAGGGGGTTGTTGTTTTGTTTTGTTCATATTTCTTTCTTTCATGTTTCCTATGTTTCTTCCTAATTAAAACAGTTTTGGTATGAACCATGATGGAATTGGAAATTCTTGTGGGACAAAAGGTCATGAAGCAGCAAAACTTATGGCAGCTCACATTACTGCAAATACCAATCCTTTTTCCTGGTCTGCCTGCAGTCGAGACTATATCACCAGCTTTCTTGAGTAAGTAATCTCTGGAGAGTATGATTAATTGCTCCAAAAGTAAGTCATTGGTAGAAGCCTAACATGTAGTGCTTCAAATTTTGCATAATGAGTCTGTTTTATAGGGCCCAGTTATATTTCTGGCTGATACCCACAGGCTTTAATATAAGATTGTGGCAAATTTTTCAGTTCATGTGCAAACAAAACTTACTGAATAAACTAGAGGAAGGGGAACAAGGATATAAATGGGATTAATAATATGAGCGATTAGAATTGTTCAATAAGCAAGAAAAAAATTTCAGAAAGAATTTACATTTATATACCTTTAATAGAGAATAAACCAAACTTTAATTTAGTGATTTCATATTTTATTATGTTGGTAAATAAACTGAACATGTAGGAGTGCCAAACTATCTAATAGTAACAAACAACAACAACAAAAAATCAAACAGCCAGGAAATGAACACTTTGAGAAAATGATTTATTCAGTAACCTATCTTCTGCAGTTTGGGAACTTCTTTTCTGATCTTTCAATGTATATTACCAGAGTCTGATTATCTAAATATGAAGAGAAAGGAGATGTTTATGAAAAGAGATTGTTTTCCACATCTTCCTGCACAGGGCTTCCAGATTCAATTTGAGGAAATGATAGACTTAGGTCTTACTTTCTACCTGTGTTAGTTTGGGCATGTTACTTAAACTTTCTAATATTCAGTGTCCTAATTTTTTTAATGAGTTTAAATCATAATGCTTGTATCATTAGGTGTTATATATATAATTATGTATAATGCTATAATATGTGTAAAACACTTAATAAACAATCATTAGATGATAAATATTACTATTTTAAATAATATTAAGGTTTCAGTGCTTTATTGCTCTGCCATTGCCTATATCTGGTTAATGCTATTTTTTCCTTGGGGAGGAGATAATAAATATTGTGTGAAAAAAGAGGCATACATAAAGCACAAACAACAGAAATGCGTTTTAAAATACCGTTTATATTAAAATGTGCTTATATTACCATGATTGCATTGTAAAATTTCAGATAGTTTGTACAGGTTAAAAGTACTCACTAGACATTTTCTTTGTATCCACTACTAGCCAGATTATATATTCTGAAAACTTACATTTCATATTTGTATAAGGCCTCAAATATGAGATTTTTAAATTACCTAACACAGTGCTTTACTCAAAAATCAAAAGATAGGACTGGAAGTATAGCTGTATGGTAGAGCACTTGCCTAGCATGAGAGAGGCCTTGAGTTCAAGCCCCAGGACTGCAAAAAAGGAAAAAAGAAAAAGAGGAATAGTTAAAAATGGGCTCTTTACAATTAATTAAGGTAATAATAAAATTGAAGAAGTTGGAAATTCATTTCAGAAGGCAGTTCTTCTGAATAACCATGTTATACTCCAACAATTTTTAATCTTGTAATAGAAAATTATAGCACTGTACTTTCCTTGGTCCAAACTAACTGAAAAACTATAAAGATAGACCACAGAGAATTTGACATTTTTTGGTAGTTTTAAATACAAAACACTAGTTATATACTTTTCTAATGATACAATTTACCTAAATTTTAAACATTACTGAAGGTCAGCTTTCCCTAGAAATAAAGCCAGATCTGGATTTTTGTTTTGACTTGGCTCATTTTTTTATAATAGAATCTTAATCTCTATCATCAGAAAGATAAACTATGTAATACACTCAGGATTCCAGTGTATATTTTATGGTGGCCCTTCTTTTGTTTTCAAGGGGACCATTTTCTTTTTTCCTTCCTACTGTTTCCATCCCATTGGCTTTTACACAACTCATTATGTAGTACCATTTCTGTATTCTAAATAAAAGGACCAGAGTCTAATACTTTCATGCCTTAGGCATGTAATAAGTTTGTGTGTTCTTTTCCCTTATTAAAATACATATATACGTACATGAATCAGTTTTGATCTCCTGCCAGATCTTATTTAGTTTGTAATGTTAAGATACTACCAAAGAGAATCCATAAATTGCTGGTAAAATACAGTTAAGAAATCAACACTGGTTTGGTGAGAGATGTAGAATTACTACCAGATGCTATAAAGTGGTCCACTGAATTAATTAAAATAATTAATCTATAAGGCATTCTTAAATCCTCATTGCTTCTTTTCATTTTGTACATATAAACCCAATGAGTGTTGACAGGATTCTAATGGGCTTATTTATCCTGTACTTTATTAAAATATTTCTCTTGTGCATCCTCATGGGAATGCTCACAAAGTTAAAACCATCAATAAAAGATAGATGTGAAAGAAAATGGGTAGCGACTTGGAGAAAAGTTGGTTGTCCCCACCTTCTTTATTAATAAACTCAACAAATCTGATTATAATCTGTCCAACCAATAGAAGATTTTTAAACACAAGGGCCTGTAAAAAGGTCCATTCACTGGAGCACAAAGATATAGTAGTAACTTTCTTTGCTCCTTTTTATTAATGCAGTGAATGTAATTGCTTTTACAGCTATGCATGATATTTTTAAAAATCCAGTGATATTTTGATCAAGGATTGAAATTACATTTATGTATTATAGTTGGCTCAAAAGGATTCATAACACTTTATTTTAGGTTCTCTTCTCAAGAAAAAGAAATCTTGAAAGATGAATTGTTTAGTAACTGCAGCCCAGCCAACAAAATGCATACCTTTTTCTATTTAGTGATTGTACAGGCCGAAGATGATGGTGGATTTAACAATGAGCTTTCTATGATTTGTAGAACTTCACTATTCACAATGTTCAACTGAAAACAATTCTATGGCCTTTAAATGCCAGTAGAATACAAAGTCATGTCATTTTGAAACACTAGGTGCAATTTATCAATCAGGAGATGGTGTTTACCAACTCCCAATATTTTTTTTCAGATTTCTTAAACTCGGTGATTCAATAAGTGGTTCATGAATCGCCCAGAAGCCGTCCTGATTAAATAATAAAGAACCCATTTCCGTTAAAATGGACGTGTTATGCCAGCTTCTGATGTTTTCGTCGACGGCTTTGCAGGTAGTGTTCTTCCTATCTGCCTGCGGGACTTATTTATTTATTAATTTAGAAAGTAGAGAAAGATGAACCTGGTATCATGGCTCACACTCATTGATGACTATGGGCTAATCTACCAGGCAGTGGAAGGCAGTCAGCAGTAATTTAGGCCAGTTTTCATACATTCTCCACCACTTAGCAATAGTACAGATTAACTTCATATTGTATTTAAAAATTATGGGGGCTCTGTAAATCAACTCTTGCACTTTTAAAATTAAAGTCTGTTAAATTATTTGAACTATCAAAGATCCATACCAACATTTCCTGCAGTTCCCAGTTAAATACAGAGTAGCCATTTTCACAGAAAGGATGGAGGCTGAATGCCTTCAGATGCACTGGTTGAAAGTGAACTAGGAAGAAAGGTGAGAATAGAGCTACAAGAGAAGTGCTATAAAGTGAGCAAGATGGCCAAAGCACTTTTTTCCTCTTTAGCAACTACTTTTGAAGGTCAATATCAATGTATGAGATGGAAAACAATATTTATAGGTAGGACCTTTATAAAAACTGTAGTATCTAAAAAGCAGCAAAACAGGTTTCTCCTCCTCTGTTTATCTGACATGTTTTGGGAACCTTGCTCTAACCATATATCTTTGATAAGTCATGATTACATATGGAGGGGAAGATAGAGTAAAAGGGCAGTATAGTATTTGTATCTTGACAGCCTCAAGTTCAATTATATTCAGATATCCCAGTCATATGGAGGGTGACAGTAAAAATATTTGACTTTAGATAATACATTTAGATTTACATTTACTGAAATATATTATCACATTTGTTATTCTTAGTTAAAACAGTTGTTTCATGAAGATTGATAAAGCAGTTTATGAGCACATAGTAGGCAAAGACACTTGGCTTAGTCTGGTGCAGTGGTGCATGTCTGTAATCCCAGCAACTCAGGAAGCTGAGGCAGGAGAATTATGTTTGAGGCCAGCCTCTACAATTTAGAGAGACCCTGTCTCAAAATAAAATTTTATGAAATGGCTGGGAATGTAGCTCAGAGGGAGAGCACTCTCGGTTCAATCCCCAGTACTGAAAAAGTTAAAAAACAAAACCCCTAAAAACCAGACCTAACTTGCTATAGCTGATATCAACCTAATTGAGTTTTTCTTAATTTAAGTGTATTAGCATAATGGTTGAGAAAAAAGAAAGGAGGTGGAATAAAATGTTAAATTTTTGTTGTTGTTGTTAAGGGACTGTTAAGATATGTACAGAATTATATAGACAGATTCCTTTTGCAAATTGATCATATTTTAGAGCAAAGATCTATACTTTATATAATCATTTTGGTCAAAATAAATCTAAACTCCCAATTAGGAGTATGTCATCATGTTTTCTGGAAACAAAGCCGGGGGACATATTTTACCTGGGGATCTGTAAATTTTAGTTGAAGACTGAACTCTGGCTCAAAATCCTATTTTCAAGGCTAATTTTTGGACTATGTAAATAAAAGATCTCTAAATTAGAATACAAAAAAATATGATACTGTAAGGATTTCTATAAATGTAAATATACTTTGAATTACAATGAATTTCATAATCAAGGAAGAAGCACATTCTTTAACTAATACATATTTTTGCCTTGTCTTAGAAGCATTATCAAACTTAGAGTAAAAATTAAATAATTTCCATATTTCTATAGATATTAATTAGGATTAAATTTCTTTGTTGATATGATGTTAACTAGGGAAATAATGACATATTTCCCTAGCATACTTTTTATGTATTCACTTTTTACTGGACAAGTATATCTATAATAACAATAGTAACTTATAACATTTCATAGATGAAGACTAATAGTACTTGACATTTAATTTATAATATGTGAGCCTTATGTGGAGAATTTGCATTTATGATGTCAAGTCACAAACCACTTATTTTAAAGTGCTATTTTGAGAAAATTTGTATGTAATATTACTAGTACTATTATTTTGATAGCATAAATAACAATAGATTCAATATAGTAAGAATTGTATGGTTATATCTCAATCAGTTGTAACTCTAGATTAAATAAAAATTTCCCAAAACTTCTATTTTGGGGAAAAAATGAGAAAATTTTCTCATTTTTAAAATGAGAAAATTACAGAATATAAGATTAAAAACTCCTAAGTAATAATTTTATGAAATAAAAAGCATTCACACATTTGCACCAGGAGACATTTATAAAAAATAATCATATCAGCATTATGTGCAATTGCCAGAAATTATCAATATCTCAAAATTTACTAATAGAAAAATGGAGAAATAATGGTGGCATAGTCTTAAGTGAAATATTAAAGAACAATAAAAATGAATAGACTACAGTTACATATATCATATACTTTATATCCACAATATTGAGCAAAAAAACAAAGTTACTAAAGAAAATCTATGGTATAACTCCTTTTGTATAGAGGTCCAAAACAGGCAGGTGAATAATTGAGAAATGAAATTATTAAGAAAAACAAGGAAATTATTATAAAAAATTATTATAAAAAATTATTACCTGTAAGGGGAAAATTATTGGAGTTGAGCCTTGGAAGTTTTCTTAAGAAAAAAACGAGGAAAAGCATTTCCTGGCTTAAATCCACATCTCTCAGATCCATGTTCTCTACCTTTTGTATCTATATATGTAACATTTCATGATAATTGATAAATTGAAGGCATGATAATATCCAGAATTTTTATTTTCTAAAAGTTGATAAATAGTAATTGTTATCTGTAGAATTCACTAACTTAAAAGGAGCAGGAAAATAGCAAATTTGATAATTTTATGCAAAAAAGCATTTTTGTTGATTAACCCTCAGTTAAGAATTAAGATATGAAAAATATCCCATTCCTCAGATATATTAATCAAGGTTTACTATATTACCAGATATGATTACTAGGAAGAAAATGTACTACACGTGCATGTATAGGAATGTAAAAACAATTGGAATCAGCTGTGCAGATATCCCCACATTTATTTGATTAGAAGACACTTGACTTAGCAAACCTTGCTAATTTGTACAAAATGTAAACAAACATTTCAAAAGACCTTCATTGATATGATATTCCTAAATATAGTTCATTTTTAAAAGATACATATGGTTTTCTTCTATATTTTATTTTACATGGTGTTTTATTCTTCTGTAAAAATATACTGGAAAAGGAGAACAAGACTTGTCTAGATATTTAACCAGACAACATTAAAACAAAAGCACTAGGTACTTCAGAAAAAGTGAAACAAAGATACATTTTTGGGATATTCTTTCTCAGAAAAGTTTGACTCCAGGTGCTCACAGTGCATATTATTCTTATCTGTCTGAAGGCCCTTGACAATGGTCATCTGATTTGTTTTTTATCTTTTTTTTAATTAAGAATGTGAACCATGATTAGAAGACAATCAATACCTTGAAACAAGAACATTAAATAAAATGATTAGTCTTGATTCTTCCTGAGCTAAACCAATTTTGCCATCAGGAAAGAATTTTTTTCTTCAGTGTATCTATTTTTAAATTCTTCTTTAGGGTCCACATAGTTCTTCCTTTAAGTATTTAAGTCTAATTTTTGGTATCCCTAAAAGTAATTATGTATAATTGTTTCTAATATATTCTTAGCTGGTGCCATTTAGGTGACTATATCCTACATTTATTCCTGCTAATAGTAAATATGTGTTTTCTATAGGATCCTGTACATAAGTCCTTAAGTACACAATTTTAAATTTTTCTGTTGATTTTTAGTAGTATTTGGTTTATTCTATTTTTCATTCATTTTGTTCTTTTCATAAAGATGTTTATAATTTTATTATAAATGGGAATGAAATGGGCATTTTGGAAGTAAAATTTGGAAATTAAACTACTAATTTAGTCATCCTACAAATGTTCCATATTATCAAAATCATCTTTTTCCATTATAGTATTCAAATATTACCTCTTTGCCATTAACCCTGATATGTAATTTCAAATTTACTAGTAGAATTACATCTATCTAAAATTTATACACAATTTATAAAAAGCTCTGGCTATTTTAAAAAATACCTATAAACTATAAATAGTTTGTCTTACTGAGGTACATGTCTGTTTGTAAAGGTACAATAAAAAGGAAATAACAAGTGCTCTGTCATGAAAACTGGATAGCTGGGTGAAAAAAAAAAAGGTTCTCTTAGAAATATTAAACAGAGACTACTGAAATGATTGTAACAGCCAATAGTATATTAGTAACATATTTAATATTCCATCTGGATATATTTATTTATTAAAAGAATTATCAAAGGAGGTATAATTGAAAAGAAAGGGATGTAAAGAAGACAGTATTCTCACTATTTGGAGCTCTTACTTGAATCTGTATCACCTAGGAATAGTTTAATGTTTTAAAAGGTATTAATTTACTGCTGTGAAAATATACATTTTTATATAAACAAGTAACATTTGAGAATGTGAGAAACTTTTAAGTGAATATGAGACTAATAGTGAACTCCAGTTCTTTCTTACCTATCTGTAAATGAAAATTTGTACTGTCCTAAATAACAGTTGAGGAACTCCTACTTGTGAAGTTATTTTCCTTTGGCAAAGTGGATGGAAAAAAATTGGAAAAAAAAACACAAGTGCTGGCACAATGGACAAGAATGTTGGAAAAAATTTTTAAATGTTGGCATAGGAATTCTTTAAAAATTCTAACTTACTCACATGTGAAATGAAAGTAAAAAAGCATCTGTCCTATTTTATGCACACTGACTAAATAAAAATGAACAATTACATTTAGCAAAGTCTAAAGCTTTTTAAGGTATTCTGTCTGGTTTTTGGCAATCTTTATGTTATTTGTTCCACTGAATTAAAATATTATGTTTGAGTGCAGGCATACTTCATAAAGCAGAAATTATATATAGAGGAGAACATTCTCTTTTCCAATTCTGATGACCCTAGATGAAATATGAAATTTGAAAGACTAAACATTTCTAATATACTATGAATATTAGCTTCATCTGTCATTCAGCCCATCTATTAGGGAAATATTTCAAGAACCTATGGACATATCTAACCAAAGCATCTATTGTCTTCCCAAGGTGAAAGTATATAAATTAGGTCTTTCAAAATTACAACTACAATATTTTTAATTTTCCACATTTCATGTTTTTAATTCTACTACCAGATGTGGCTATATTTTCAATGAAAACAAACAAGAATCTTAGAGCAATATGAAATTCTGTTTTAATTCTTTCTGAAATTAGTTTAAATCAATGTTTTTCGTCCAAAATGACATTTTCAGATTGTTGTCTAAGATGCTTTTATTGTGTTTTAGGGCTGGAAAAAAAAAAAAAACTATTTGGAGCTCTTACTTAAGTTTTAGTAAAGCAATTCTATTTTACCATGTGATTATTTATTGGTAGAGTGATGCTTTTCATGCCTCAAATTATTAAAACAAAGAGCTCAACACATGGTTTCATAATTGTGACTGAAATAGTCCACAGAGTACCTAATTTCCTTTGATCCTTTATGTTGAACAGTTCAGGCCGTGGTACTTGCCTTGATAATGAGCCTCCCAAGCGTGACTTTCTTTATCCAGCTGTGGCCCCAGGTCAGGTGTACGATGCTGATGAGCAATGTCGTTTCCAGTATGGAGCAACTTCCCGCCAATGTAAATACGGGGTAAGAGGTCTTAATCCTTATGTTTAGTCATTTATATATGTTCTTTTATGACACAGATGTTTGGATAGCATTATGATGAACATAGTTTGCCTTCAGTAGCATTATTAATTTAAATATGGCTCTTGACACTGTACTTTTTCTGATATCATTTGTATGACATCTGTTTCTAAATTTCATATGAGGGATGTAGGTAGAATTTTTAATAACCTCTAATGTACTTGTTCTTTAAATTTACATTGCTAACTTTGTCTTTTGAAATGCTGTGATTTTTAAAAGCCCTCCCTACTCCCTTTTTCTGGTACTGTTATGATTGGGCTAAAGGGCATTTTTTCATTGGCTGTGTGCCTTTACTTTAATTCATACTTGCTAGTACTGAGTCATTTCAAGTTGCTTCATCCACTGCCCACATTCCAACACAACAACCGAGCAGGAACAAGATGACATGAGCGCAAATAGTGAAACAAGGAAAATTGCTGTGGAAAAAAATGTAGGCGTCATAATTTATTCTTCAAAGTCACACTGTCTATATTACAAAATATATTTAAACATCTTTTTAGATTTCATAGAGAAAGGCTGCAGTGATGAATATAAGGACATGTTCATAGGAAGAACATAGTACAAGCATGTTGAATTAAAAAAAGAGAGAGAGAGCGAAAGAAAAAAAAAAGGACTTTAAAATGTCAATTTTTTTTTTTTGCCAGAAAATATTCATAATAAAAAATAAGTTAAAAAATGTGGTTCTTATTTCTATGCCTCTTTTTGATTCCTCTTAAAAATAATAACTACAAAAGGAATTAAGTTTTAAAGCCGGTAATACTAAATGAAAAATAATATAGCTATTGTACTGTATCAATTATTCCTCTGGGAATAATTGTATAAAGGAATAATAGTACAAAGGAAAGTGATTACTCTAGATTTTGGCAGCACCTTTGTGTTCTAGGTTTTTTTTGTTTTGTTTTGTTTTCAGTGCTGGTGATTGAACCCAGGGCCCCTTGCATTGTAGGCAAGCACTTTACCGCTGACCCACATCTTCATCTTTTTTGTTTTTTTATTTTGAGTCAGGTTGCCAGGTTGGCCTTGAACTTGTGATCCTCCTGCCTCAGCCTTTTGAGTGACTAATATTACCCGTGTGTGCCACCATACCAGGCTGTGCTCTAGATTTTTAAAGATTATCTATCTGCTTGTGTAGAAACTTGGATAAAATTCTGATCTTTCCTGTCTCTTTGACTCTCACTTCTTTGTTAGCAAGTAAAATAGTTAATCTACATTTTAATTTTTCAATTGGAATTTAGGTTTTAACTCTACCTATAACTTTCCACATTAGGAAATGTACAACATCTGTTTATGTAATTTTTCTTTCTTAAATAAATTAATCTATAAATTGACTTGAGGGGCTGAGGGTAAAGCTCAGTGGTAGAGTGCTTGCAAAGCATGAGTGAGGCCCTAGGTTCTATCTCTGGTACTGCCAACAGCCGCACGCCCCCCCCCCCCCCCCCCAATAAATAAATTTAAAAATTGTTTGGTTTCCTCACTTAAAAATTGTTTGGTTTATCTCATTCATTTCAGTCTGATTTAAAATGAGATAAATAGTACTAATAAAATTGTATTTTCCTCTTATTGAACTTTCAGATTTTTGTGTGTTTATAAAGACTTCTGTAATAGATATAATAAAATTGGAAAATTTGGTGAAAGACATTAGCATCTTAAAAACCTATACAATTTATTGTATTTTATTATGACCCTTTTCACTTTGATTTGCATCAAATTGAGGATTTCCCTAGTTTCAAATAGGAAAATACTTCTGCCATTTTTTAAAAAAAAGTGCTGTATATTACCAGTGTGGTTTCTGGAGTAATAATAGATTCTTTACAATCACTTATACCTCTTGAACTTGTACCTAAAATAATTGGTTTTACACATTTGATAGCATACAAACTCACACAGGGTTTTATCTGGTGAATCCCTAAGGTTTTAAACAATTCTAAATACTAAATATTGCTTTAAAAATAATAGTAGCTTTGAAAATTGGAGTCCAGTCAAATAGGAAAATCATGCTTCAGATAACAGCTGAAGGGAACAGTAAAGCTGACTTGATTTCAATAACTCTGAGTGTAGCATGTTGAGATAAATACTAAACATAATTGCTGTAGACCTGGATGGACACTGTAGCCTTTTCAAGAGGGAGTGGAAGAATCATGAATTCATTCTCTTTCAAAAAGCAGACCTCTAATGATGTAAAGGAAGATTTTAAACAATTATAAAATGGTCCATAACTGCAGCAGTGCCCAACTTCTTATCTCTTCCATTTTGGTCATCAGGAAGTCATTGCTGGCTAGCTGTTGATTACATCTGTAGTTATGAAAATTCTTATCTGGAGTTTGGTGAATTCTTAGTGGGTTGGATACATTTTTACACATATTAGTTATACTTACAAGTTTACATGAATTTTTTTCTATTTTACTTTACTTGGGGAAATATTTTCCATGGTTATCCTTGCATATCATCTTTTTTTTTTCCAAGTGCTCTTAAATTCCATAGAATAATGATGAAATTGTAATGACTATAAACACAAAGAACAAAACAGTACAGTACAATACACAGAGTAATATAGTTGTGTGTGTAGTAATCTAGAAATGATATGTAGTTTCTTATAATCACATAGTTCCTTTTTCTGAGCTACTTCAGACTTCATTGGTAAAAATCATTATTATCTGATAATATTTTGTAGATGGGGAAACTAATCCACGTTAATTACTGAATCCAAGATTTTTAAAAAATGGTCTAAATCTGGCAGTTCTTTTACTACTAGGTGTAATATTTCTGTTAAAAAGAAAAGGTTACAGATGTATTTTGTTTCAGAAGACACTTGTTTAATTTTTATCTTTTACTAAAAGTCTTCTCATGCTCCTCATCTTGTCCCAGTCTCTTTTGGGAGAGAAGAGATCAGGACACCTTCTCTTAACTTATTCTTTAGGATCATAAATTCTCAGGTGTCTGAAACTCTAAGTCTTGTATTTGAGAGAATTTATTTTCTTTTTTCTTGCATAAAAAGTTAGGGCTAGGGCTGAGATATAGCTCAGTAGGTACAGTGCTTGCCTCTCATGCACAAGGCCCTAGGTTCTATCCCAAGAACCATCAAAAAAAAAAAAATTAGGACTAGCCAGGTGCAGTGGCACAAATCTGTAATCCCAGCAGTTAGAGAAGCTGAGACAGGAGGATGGAGAGTTGAAAGCCAGCCTCAGCAAAAGCGAGGCACTAAGCAACTCAGTGAGACCCTGTCTTTAAATATAATACAAAATAGGGCTGGGGATGTGGCTCAGTGGTCAAGTGCACCTGAGTTCAATCCCTGATAGGCCCCCCACCTAAAAAGCCAATGAAGTTAGGACTTCTTCAAGGCAAGATGCAAGTACAGACAAGCAGCATGCAAAGCTCAGCTACCTACTAAATTATCCAGAAATATCTCCTGGCTATGTTAGCAGGTTTCTAAGGGGCCTTGGATGCTTCCTGGAAGAAAATATGCTGCAAATAAAACAGCAGTATTGATATGTGCAGGAAATGATTTTTTTTTTTTTGCCTATTAGGAACAACCAGCTCTTTCCTATAAAACTCTATTATAGAATCTGTCATCTCATTTCTCTTCTACTTTCTGTTAGTTTCCTCTTTTTATTAGAAAATGATTATAAAAACTGAATTACCAGAAAAAAGCATGTTGCAGTTATAACAAAAAGTTTAAACTTAGAAATTCAATCATTAGCCTATAAAAAATAGGGACTTTGGGTGATCTTTTGATTGCTTTCCAAAAAGTACAGATTCTTTCAGAGCTGTCCCAGACTTAGCTCTTTATTTCTTTATTCTGTCACTTTAAATCATTTCCAAAACATTGTTTTCAAATACACTTAATGATTTAGTATAAGTTAAGAATATTGAGTACATAATTTACTATTAACCAGCAAGAGATGACTGTTCATCTATATATGGGTTGGAAACAGATAAATTTTATGGACTTTATAGCTTTGTTTAATTTATGGGAATTTTTATTATATGTGAGGTTTATCATTGTTTACAGGGACTTGAGTTAGCCCACAATGCATAGTGTGTTGTACATTATTATAACTTACTTTAATGTAGAACTGAATTGTGTTTTATCAATTGACCATATATTCTGAATCATAAATGGGAATACATTATCTAATATATACTTTCACAGTGGAACAGACTCCTTTCTAACAGAATATTTTAAGTAAAAAAAAAATCTGGAGCTGGGGATGTGGCTCAAGCAGTAGCAGGGCGCTGGGTTTGATCCTCAGCACCACATAAGAATAAAATAAAGATGTTGTGTCCACCGAAAACTAAAACATGAATATTAAAAAAATTCTCTCTCTCTCTCTCTCTCTCTCTCTCTCTCTCTCTCTCTCTCTCTTTAAAAAAAAATCTGTTCACACTATTCACTATTACTTTTGACCTCAGGTTGGCTACTAGTAGACTTTATTCAGTTTTCTTCACTTTTTCAAGTGAGTAGCAGCCTAGGTGTTCTTGTAAACTTCATATAGCAAGAAGGTATGACGAGCATGCAAAGTGCCTTTTCTTTTTCTCCGCATGGCTGCATACAGTGTTTCTGTTTCCTCTGTACATCTCTGTCATCCATGATACCATTTTTTTATAACTGGTACTGCTTTAGGAGGATCTCAGTCTTCTGTACTTATGGGAGCATGTTAAGATATTCCAGTATCATCCTACACTTTCAACTTCAAATGCAGTTTCTCTTCAGACAGGCCTTCTTTCTTTTTTATTGGTTCTTTTTAGTTAAACATGACAGTAGAATCCATTTTGTTATATTATACAAGCATGGAATATGTTATTTTAATTAGGACCCCGTTTTTGTGGGTGTACATGATGATGGAATTTGTGTAGGTATTTACATACATGTACATAGGAAAATTATGTTAGATTTATTCTACTGCTTTACTATCCCTATCCCCCCTTCCTTCCCATAATTCCCT